GTAGGCATTAGCTATAGTGGTGGTGTGGGTGTGGCATTTCAGAGAGGGAACAAATGCAGTAAGAAAGTATGAAATAAAATGATTAATTTAGATTTCTATAAGCAATTTAGTGTGACTAGAATGTAGGATATCAATGGAGGAGTATCAGGAGATATGGTTGGGAAATATAAATGTCATGGATGTGCTTGAATGTTTAATTAAAACTTATAGACGATCATTTAAAGATTTAAAGTAGGGGAGTGACATAAAATTTGTATTTCCAGAAGCTTATTCTGCCGTCAATGTAGATGACAGTTGCAGGGGAGGCTGGAGTTAGGGAGACTCTTGAGGAGGCTGTTGCATTTAATAAAGGTCAGAATTGAGAACTGGAAGTAGCACGAATGTAACAAGGAAAGGATAGATGCACAAGATGCTAGTCAGATGGAATCTACAGAACTTACAGTACTTTCTGATTAACATGGGTGGTAGCAAGGCATTTACTAAAAGAAAAATTTATAATCATTCTAGGGCTTCTGGCTTAGATGGGTTCCCTGCCATTAACTGCAATAGAGACTAAAATGAAAGGAAAGGAAGAGAGTAAATTGGATTTTGGAAATGATAAATTTGAGGTATTTATTGTATATCCAAGCGCACATGCTTTGTTTTCCTTTGGATAAAGGGAGAGAGGATTTGGGGCTCGTCTGTGTGGTAGGAAATGAAACCTTGGATTTGGATCAGATCTCCCAGGCACAGGGCCAGATCTCTTGTTACACCCTATTCTAAAAATCTACCCCTTGAGAAATAAATAGTTCCCCAGAGACAACGATACACACACAGCCCTGGAGTCATATTCCTTGTCGTTGCAGTCAATCCCAAATCTGAGTCTTCTCTTCACAGTCAGTCACGAGGATCCTTGGACATATAATATAAGTAAAAATAGCAATTCTTTATTGTTCTCATAACTAGAAGTAAATAATCCAAGTACATTTTTAATCTAATAGAGTCACAGTAATAACAGTCATTATTTTTGTTTTTCTAATTTGGAGTTTACTGTAAATTGGCTATCAAATGCTTTTCATTAGCTTCTCCTCATAAAGCCTATATGCCAACGTAACATCATAAATTCAGCTTATAGCAGCATACCTGAAAACCTGCTCTTGATATTTAACTGTAAAGCCAATTATTTTAACGTGTTTACTTGGCAGCTTTGTTGGGAACTTTAGCATTTTTCGAGCCATATCTTAAATTCCCATTCCTATTCCACCCATTCTCTGTCTTCTCCTGGGTTATTGGTCTTGAGAAATTCTATGAGTTGTGCTTTAACTTCTCCTCTCCCTATAGCATTGTAGCACAGCTTCTTGATTTACTCTTCTTTCAAGTTTCTCTGACCCAATTGCCCAGTTTTCTTTTTCTTTCTGTCCCTGGCAGTTTCATAACGAAGCTGCTCCTTGCCACCAGGTCAGGTGGGGTGTGGACATAGGACTGCAGAGACAGAATGAGTGCTTGCAGAACTGCAAGGGCTACTCTAATGGATATGACTCCTGCCGTAGCTCCACAGATATTATTTTAGAGTAGCAACTGCCCTTCATGTATGGGTCCTTCAAAATTCAAGGACTGCCAGCTGCCTATAATTTGTAGGCATACTCAAACGCTTTTATGACTGCACCTAAACGTGAAGGGGGAGAAAGAAGTGGAATTGATTCCTGCAAATATTTAAAATGGGTATAGTTCCAATGTCAGTAGTAGTATGGCTAAAGATAATGAAAAGTCTGCCTTTTTTTTTTTTTAGGACTCCTGATCACAACACAGGATCTCTTTTTACAAGCAGTCATTCGTTTAGACCTGCAAACACCACCACTGACGCCTTCTTAATGCTCTCTTAAAATCATTTCAGCGGTGCTCATAGATATCTGTGAACATGTTTAGTTCACAGATACACATTGTGAGATGCAGTAGAATGCCAGTGTAGAAAGCATATATGAAATGAGGCTGAAACTTTGTAATTGTTTATTGGATAGTGGCATTTTAATGATAAGCAGTATTTGGCCCTTTATGTTTTCATGACAAATGAAAGAAGATAATTCCCAGCTGTTTAAGTTCTAAACCTATATATAAATCCACATGCTAGCAAGTAAATAGAATTCCTTTTCGATTTTTCTAAATTGTAAATCAGATTTATGTGAAAAACCAGATTATATTTTCCCTTTTATTTCTCTGACAATAGTATTAAAAAAATACTATTCCCAAATCTTGATTCATCTTATTATAACTGTTTTCCCAGTTCCCTGGATTGTAATCCATGGAAACTCATCAGAGTGCAAGAGTCTTGTATTGCTTTGTTTTCTTTTTTTCCCCGTGCCCCTGACATTCAGCTCTGATGTTAAGCCATTTTTTTAGTTATAGTTAAAGTGAGACGTGCCTGGGTGATTTGCAGTTAACTGCTCGCCTCCACACACACAAATGCCTCAGCTTCACATCTAATCATGATTCATCCCTCATGCCAGATTCTTGCTGTCATCCTAGCACCAGCAGATGGTGGGACAAGACCCCTGGGGCAGTCAACCCCAGTGTCCTACCGTTGTAGTAGTGGTCAGAAAAGGAAGAATTTTAACATGGCAAACAGTTCAGTTCTTTTGACTTCTTGCTAGAAAGAATAATAATGATAATAATAATTAACAGAAACTTGGTGTCAGATTTTCAGGTGGTACCTTAAAAATGTATTTTTTAATCCAAGAAACAAAGTAAAAGTGAAAAGCCACATTGTATTTTATAAATGCGCTTGCTGAAAGGACAGCTCCTGTGTTTATGTTCTGTCATGTGTACTTTACATTTGTAATAATCTGAATTGTGAGAAACCAGTGAGTAGCAGCGTACAGAAAGACAAATTTCATTTACTTATGCTTAAGTAAGTTTTCTGTTCTAAAAAATAACACCAGTGGTTGCCAGGTGATACACATGTTGAATTGTTAGTGTAGTAGAATCTGAATTTGCTCTTCATGCTCTATGATTATTGGTGACTTTAGACAAGTTTACTTTATCTTTCTGGGCTTCTGTTTCTTCACCTAATAAAAAGCGCTGTTTTAAAGTATCTCCAAAATATCCTTTTTTATTACAGTACATAAAATGTAAGAAAGCCAAAATAGTATTAGCTGTATTAAAGTGTACTAGGCTTATGGAAAAGGAAATGCATGGAGTTTCAACATTGACTAATTTTGATTACTTGATCTTTGTACTAATGTCATATATAAACATGCACATATACCCAAGTAACTGCAGTAATTGCAAAGAAATGTTTTTAAGATAACAAATCCATGGAACTTTTACAATTTTCAATTTTTACAAATTTATAAATAATTTTCCATATAATTTTCTATTGCTTCAGCCATTCAACAATTCCAGCTTCTCCTGATAATGTTGAGTGTTATACCTCTTTAACCCAGAATCCTGGCTAGTCCTCGGTTACACAGAACATTGCTTTTTAACTTTTTACCAGAATCTACGATTAGTGGTACGTTTTACATTCAGTAAGCACACACATACAGTTACATGTGCATGTGTTTCACTCAGTGTTTTACCTTACTGTCCGCAAAAAAATTTTTTTCTATTCTTTTGTTGTTGTTGTGGATATTGTTGATTCTATTTCTCTTTTTAAGAAATTGCTGGTCCTTGCTCACCAGATTGATTTCAGGGTTCTTAATGGATTGGGACCCACAGTTTGAAAAACACTGAGCTAAACAATCAGCGCTTACTATATGAAGAGATTTTTTTTTTGTGGTACGCGGGCCTCTCACTGTTGTGGCTTCTCCCGTTGCGGAGCACAGGCTCTGGACGCGCAGGCTTAGCGGCCATGGCTCACGGGCCCAGCCGCTCCGCGGCTTGTGGGATCTTCCCGGACCGGGGCACGAACCCGTGTCCCCTGCATCGGCAGGCGGACTCTCAACCACTGCGCCACCAGGGAAGCCCTAATCAGCGCTTACTATAAAGAAATAGATAATTTTTTGTAGACTTTCTCAAATTATTAAAAATGATTTCCTACTCTCTGTTGATCAGAGCAGCTGCCATTTACTTAACAAGAAATCTTTAGAGTTCTCTTGTTTGTTTGTATAACCAAAGGATGTAAAGGATATAGAGGAGCTACACATAGAAATAAATTTAAATAGAATGTCTTAATGAGCCTTATAGCTCCCTGTTTTTAAACAATGCCATTCCTCTTTGTTGTTAAGAGCCAAATAGTGATTTTAAATTTTGTTTCCTTGAGCTTGTCTTTATTTCCATCATCATTCCGGGTGTTCCTGTTTTTTATTTTAATAGGTCATGCTTTTTACATGAAGCAGCTTGATTTCATACAAAGGCTCTTTATTTGTATTTTAACAAAGATGGAAAGAAAAGGAAAGAAGTAGGTCTTCTTGAATTTCTATATCACCATATAGAGTTCTAAATACCATGGCCTTATTGCTGTTGACTATTTCCCTTTCTCATTAGTGGTGGTTTGAATAAGTTGTGTGAGAAACATAGTAATCATATGGAACTGAATAGTCTCTTCTATCACTCCATATAAAATGATATGAGGTGAGTTGTTAGCACATTTAGTTGCCACTTATTTTTTTTAATTGCTGTAGCATTATAGGTAATCATAGAATTCACATGTATTAATAACACACTGTTAGAGAATTCAGAAGGGAAGTAGAAAGTAAAGCATTCCTACTCTGAATAGACAGTGTTGGAAATAACATTGAGAAGTAAATTTGGTATGCAAATGGTATATTCAGAAAGGATTCCTTTATAATCTGTAGATTTAGAAAAGATTGTATTAGAAAGTGTTTTGCATAGATAAAAACTGAACATAAAAGCAGCTTGTGGAACTGAAGGTAATTTTATATAAATATACACATTTTGATATATAATGAACTGTTTCTATTATGGATGGTGAAAATTCTTAAAGAAAGAATTTATTGTAAATGAAGTTGTCAGTGTTAGTGTTGAAGATGTTCACTGAAGCTCTTTGTATGTATCTCTTTCAGATATGGAAACAAGTGAAAAAATCCAAGGAAGTGGAATACTTCAACTGTTTGCAAGTCTGTTGGTTCCACAGTCTTCCTGCACAGCCAAAGTAGCTAACGTCATAGCAGAAATAGCCAAAAATGGTGAGGTTTTCCTCAAGAACTTTTCTGCTGGGAACATCTTCAGTTTTACACCCTACCTGTCAGTATGTTTTATTAATTTATGTTTTAATTTTGTAGATTAGACCTTTTTACTTTCTTTCTATTTTTCTTTTCTTTGACTTTTTTCACGTAATGAAATGTTGTTTAAAATGACTATCATTATAGTCATTCTGTTCGTACGTTTCCCATTTGCTATTCCATCCCTTCAGAGTAGAATTAAAGAACAGCACTGCTAGTCCTGTACCTGTATCATTTATTGCTTTGGTTACAGGATTCTTGAGCTGCCACTGAGTCATTCGTCTTCATTGTCACAGGAGAGCTTACCCTTTTTCAGTGTATACATTGGTTTGTGTTATATCCAGATAAACTCACTGTTTTTTTCTTTTTAGTCTGACCTACTGACGTTGGCACTTGACTGCAACAGTGTAGTCGGAATACATACTGGTTTCTGAATTCATCTTCATGAGAAACATTTATTTCTTAGGTTTCCATGTAATGATAGCAAAGCATAGATTATAAAATAGCCGTCCCATTATATATGGTTTATATCCAGTGAGAGGGGATTCTTTGGAAGAATTATTTTGTAGCAGAAATATTTGTGTATGATTTTAGTTTAGTCAATTTGAGAAAAACACTGACTTCTTAAAGCAGTTTTTAAGCAAAAGGGGAGGCCATGCTAAATGTAATACCATTAGTATGCCTCAGTTTGTCAAAGTTTGATATTATTTTTAGTTCTTTTATTTTAGTAAGTTGCATATATTATACTTTAAAAAAAGAAACTTTAAAATTCTGGCTTCAGTTTTACACAATTTTATACATTGTGGAATCACTGTGGCAGGTGGCATTGTAAAGTATGTTTTTAGCCCAGTAAAACAACTTGTTCATATGTGTGTTACCAGAAAGAATTGCCATGAAATTTTTTCATTTGTTTAGAGGTGCTCAAAATATCTTTCCAAATTCCAATATTGGTAAATCATTTTTTGGTTGTTAATGAAAACTGACCATCTATTGTTTGTATGTACATCTAAGCTATTGTAATTTATAATCATTATGCTGTGCTCTGGAGTTGAGCTGGTCATAAATGTTCAGAGATTCCTAGTGGTCTGGAGTATTTAGTGTACTTCAAGAAGATTTGAACTGCTCTGAATAGATAGGGATCACCTTGGGACAACAAAGAACTCCTGAAGCAGATCTAGTTTGAAAATGAAACCCCTTCAGATATTGTTTGTTAACTTAGAGCAACCACTATCTAAATCTTCTTAGATGCAAAGCAGCTTGATTTTTAAGATCAAGTAATTTATTTTTAACTTCATTAGAAACACAGTATAGTTTCCAGAAATCAATTTTTATCTTAAAACTTTTTTTCTTAAGAATGAGCACACACACATAACATAGATTGAGAAATTTTGAATAGATTTTTTTTTTGAAATGGCTTGCCATTCCTATATGATCTTATTACTTAATAGTATCAATCCTTATAATACTTGGTCACAGTTGCATGATAACTCTGCTGCTAGAGGTTGCTTCTAGTTACACTCTAGTAGATGACAACTATGTTTTAAAGACATAATTTATAGCATTTATACTTTTAATCAGAGGCTTGTTAAGGGCATGCCACTAATCCCTACTGGTTAAAATAAATGGGATCCATTTAAATGGTTGTTTACTGCTTAATCGTCACATTGTTTCTTTTTTAAGTGACTGGCTGAGAAAGTGGATTAGAGTCTTTCTTTTTAAATAAATATCTTCAGAAATGCAACATGACCCAACAGAGATATTAACTAGCCTTATATTTCTTCTGGTTAGAAACTTGACAATGAAAGAAGATTGTGTGAACCGGAGAAAAAAAGAAATTGGAAGTTGATCTGTTCATCGTCACTCTGCTGTGCACGTTATATAATAATAGAAGAGAAGTGTTAGCATATACTTGTTAGATTTGGATTAATTATAAAATATAATTATGGTTAAATTTGTACATACAAAAGGAACTCTCTAAAAATTAGCGTACCTGACTATGTGCTGATGTTCAAAATCCAGAGTATTAGTAAGAAGTTCCAGGGGCAAGTTTAACGTGGGAGCATAGCTGTGACCATAAATTGCAGTAAAAGATTTTGATATCTTTTAAGTAAAGTGTTCCCCTATATAACAGATTTAAGATGGATTTGAGGCAAAGGAAAAATAAGTAAAAGAGGAAGTATCTGAATATTTCTTCCTTTTTAGAATTGTACTCTCAGAGTGTCTAATAATAATAATAACAACAACAACAACATATTTCTGAAACGAGGTACTGTTATGTGTCTACAGTGCTGATAACTGAAGTTGAAAATGTGTGAAAGCAAACAAAACCTTTACATCTTATTCCCCTCCTCCAACTCCTCCCCCCCTCCCCCCTCCACCTTCCTCCTCTTATAACATCCAGGTATAAGAAGATAGTGATAAATTAGGTATAATGAAAGTTAATCAAAAATTCTTTTGGTTTATGGTAGAGACTATCAGCCAAGAAAAATATGACCCCACTCATTTTTGTGTACTTATTTCATGAAGTATTTAGTAGGGTTGTAATGATACTTTTAGACAGAAATGTACTCTTCAGATAGTAAGCCATCTTAAACATTTTCATATTAGATATTTATTTTATTAAGGGAGGTTTTTTATGTAATTGAGAATCTTTATATTTTTAATTAAATGTGTTCTTCTTTTCAGAATTTATGCGAATTCCATGTGTGGATGCAGGATTAATTTCACCACTGGTGCAGCTGCTAAATAGCAAAGACCAGGAAGTGCTGCTTCAAACTGGCAGGGCTCTAGGAAACATATGTTACGATAGCCGTAAGTGTTGAAATAGCAATGGCACACTTATAAACTTTTGTTTAAGAATTACGATTTTCATAATAATTCTGCTTTTAGTGTTAGCACTGTCTTTTCTAGGCTAAGACATTAATGTGAGCCAGTATGACTTAGCTCTGCTTATGTAGCTGAATCGATGGAAATTCGGGCCATAGTATTCTTTTATCTAAGACTTATCTGAAATGAATTCTTTTTCTCATATCACAAATGATATTTTCAGAGGAAAATAAGTCATTTTCTAAGAATTGGAGCTTTTAATTTTAGGAAAAAAATATATCTTTTCAATTAGGTTTTATTGAAGTACCATCTCTGCATGAGAATACTTCTGAACACATTTTTTAGTTTCTAAGTCTGTCCAAATACATTTTTAATTACTTGCAATTCAGTAAAGCCATTCATAAAAACCATTATCTTCTCAAGAGCTAGATTGGCCTATTGCATCTTGCATTGATTCCATTCCTATTTGTCATAACGTCATTGTCATCCTCACCACTTTATATAATATACTGTTCTACTAGGCAAAGAGAAAGCAAGAACTTGGGTATGGGTATAGATATTGCAAAATTTTTACATTTTCTACTTTTCCTTCCCACGTATATGCAAACAAAATACAGAAAAAAATCTTGAGTATATTCAGTTTAATTAGGCTTATCCTGATTTTCCTTAGATTTCTGAGACAAAAACACATTTTTTAACATTCACCTTTAAAGTCTCCTAAGAATTTAGTTCTATTTATACAACTAGGATAACTTTTATTGTTTATTTTCCCCATTGAGTTTACGTACAAAAATCATAGATAGCTCTTTTATAATACACAGTGTTTCAAAAAGTGATTTGTGCATATAAACCAGACAAAATAAAGTCATAAACATATTTATTTATAATAAAAGAAAGAAGCAGAAAAAAAGATTGAAACTACAGCTTTCAGTTATAACTTCTCTGTAGCAGTGGTGGTAAGACTAGCCTCATTTATTCTTTCCTTTTTCTGGAATATTATATATTATATCTGAGGACACGGGATGTCTTTTAATGTGAATTTTAATTGGAGAATTTCAGTCCCTAATGCTGCTTATAAATTTACCTATCCGTGCCTTCATTCCAATTCTTACTATCCTAGGGTATTAGCTTTGTTTATAAAATCCTAGTGCTCTATGTTTATAACTTGCATTTTCATATTTAGGATTTTTATTAAACACTGTAGCTTCTAACGTTAGCTTTCAAGAACGAATGTGTATTTTATATGATTAATTTTAACAATGTATATTTAATAGACCCCTGCAGAGTAATAGGCAAAGATTGATGGCAAGTATTTGGAGAATATAATCATTACTCTTTTTATTCTTATCTTCTATGTTTATTACTAGAATTTAAGGCTATCAAAAGTATTCTTTAATCTTTGTTCAGTTTAGATATTCTTGAATTATGCATTGTTTGAACATCATAGGAATTATCTGTTTTGAGTACTTTTGTCCTAGAGTTTCACTTAATATTGGCACAATGGAAGAAATACCCATAGTGATCTATTGTCTCATCTTGCTATGATTTTTATGGGCACAGAGTAATTTTATTTCCTGTATACGCTAAAGAACCTTGAAGTTAGTGTAATAAATGTCTGCTTAATAAGTATCATTTTGATGAAACTGAAGTCCATTATTATGCTGTTTATCATATCCATTTACTCTGTTCTTATGAGGTATACAGTATAAAGTCTGTGGATATGCTTTAGGCTATGAAGTTAATTTTTTGTTTCATTTATTTGTGAATATTTATAACCACTTTATTCTCATTCAATTCAATGAAAATTATAGTTAAATAGAAAATTAAGCATACTGAATACAGACTTTTTATACATTTAAACCTTGTTTAAGGAAAATGAAGTTAGTAATCTTAAAAATGAATAAATATAAGAAGTGATTTATTACTGTAAATCATGTGGTAAAAATGTATTCATTGTGCCATGCTGTCTTAAGCATATAATTTCCATAATACTGTATGCTTTCTTATCCTTTTATTTGAAATTAAATCTATGTCAGTTTATGAGTGATTTCTCCAGAATAGTTGTAGGAAGAGTACAGCACCTTTATTTTAATTACAAGAATGATATCAAAGTCTATAAATGTGATGCTGTGTGGTTGATTTTTTAATTTACTTGAAATGCAGTGACATATTATGACAAGCAGGAGTTTGAAAGAACCCAGAAATTAGATTTCTCTCTTTAAAAAGTATTGAATAACTTCTATTTTAATTAATTAATTAACCTTCTTCCCTCTTAAGAATGTAATGCTTCATTCCTAAACGGAGAATAGAAAACTACAAATGACAGCCTTGTACATACAAGGAATCTTCTTCTTACAGATAACATGTGTTTTAAAATTCACGTTTGTATTTTATCAAACTTACCCATAGGACTAATCAGTTTATTCTTGTTTTATAAATGTATTCCAAATGAATAATTTTTTAGAGTGGGTTTATTCAGAATTTTATTGGGCTTACAACAGATAGTAAAGTCAACGTATACATAAAGTAGCATGGGAATTCAGTATTAGAGATAAATATGTGAGAAATTTGTGCATATTTTATAGATTTTTATTTTGATACTTAAAACGTAAGGCAATTTGCCAGCATATGTCAGTTAACAGTTCTTTTTGAAAGGAGAGCTCTAACTGTAGAAAGAATTACACTTACCACGAAATTCATGGAAATCTTTTGAAAAAAGTAGGTCAGATTTCAGATTTCCCAGCTTTGACAGTGCCCATTTTATGGAACTCTTCCTAATGGAAGGAAACGGTCTTATATATCCTAACATCAGGTAATAGACTGATATAACTGCTAAATGGGACAGGATGAGGCTTTGTTGCTGATGAACTTTTTGAATCCCACCCAGTCTCTCTCTTGCATATAGAGATGAAAGCATCAGCGAGTGGGAACAGTTTTCATTTAAAATGCCTGGTCTTTTTTCTGTGCTTCCAGAGAGCTGCCAAGGCATTTATGGATTTCTTTTTCGAAGTATCCAGACTTCTGATATAAGCAACGTTTTAACTCTTTGCCCTTTAACTTCTCCAAAATAATTCTTTTTATAAGAAGTTTGACATCTTTTAGATCAAAGAAGAGAGAAAAATTATATTTCAATTTGGAAAGAAGTCAGCAAAGCTGTGATGGGATATGCTAGGAGATATGATTTTAGATAATGTAGTATTACATCTCAGCAGTGCATACATTTGGCCTGTTTAATTACACATTTCTCTCAAAGGTGATATGGAAAAAAATGAGCCCCTTTTTCTCCTTACCTGGCCATTTTTGTGGTATTCTCTTCTTTTAATGATTAGTTTTGTTTATATAACTGTGCACATTTAAAATTGCTTATATAATTAAATGGTCTTATAGTATCGAAGAGCTTCATGTTAAATCCCCCCCCCCATGTTTATAATTCGTAGGGATAAATTGGTGACTGGAGACTGAGCTTTCTCTGTTTGTAGATGGTACTGCTTGAGGTCAGGAAATAATTGATATCAGAAATACTGGTCAAGTCATTTAGTAGAGGCTAAAAGAAAATGATTGCATGAAATTAAATATTTGTGCCTTTTTGTATACCAGAGAAAGAATAATATAAAATTAAAATTAATTAAAATTAAACAAATATACCTCTTTACAGAAATGAAATTAGTGCTTTTGATTATGTAATTAGTCCTATTATTAGAAAGATGCGCACTTAAGAAGCTTGTATGACATGCTGTCTTACATGATATAAAGGAAATTGAATTCTTGCTCACTAATGAAGAAATAAATCTACCAAAATGAGGTGGTAATCAGGCTTGCCAAAGCCATTGTTTATGAGGTAAACTAAATATTGTTTATTTCAATGACTTCAAGAAGTGTAAAAATGAAAGGATGCCCAAGTACATGCATGGACCTATTTATATATTAGTGATTCTAACTGTGCTACACTACTTTTAATGTAAGGGATGAAGAAAAAATTTATTATTCTGACTGCAAACGCTGAAAAAGAATTAGCAATAATTCTGTAATATTTCATAATGTAAGTTGGTTAGATAAGAGTAATACAGACATGCTTTGAAATTGCCTAAGTAGTCAGAATATGTTTGCAGCAGTTATAGTAAACACAGAACTATTTATATCTTACATTTAAAATGTTTATTTCAGTGATATAAATTAGGTTAAGTGTTTGATTATGTTATTAAAGAGTTTGCAGGTCTGTAGATTTGTCCTACTTCTTTTAGTATTCAATTTTAGAGTAGAATAGAATTATCAACCAATAAGTATAAAAATAAGATTCTTCAGCTTTTACTAATCTGTTGTAATTTTTAATAAATTTATTATCAGAGTACATCATGTATATAAGAATAAACAACTGTATGCAACTGCTTTTAGAGACCGTAAATATGGCTATTATCACATGAAAATCCTCTCTTGTAAAGATTTCCTACATATATAGTAGTTGGAAATAGATGTTGTTTTGTAACCCTATCATAAGCTCTATAAAAGGTTCCTGCCATTAAAGAGCTTTTAATATGGTGGAGAAAATAAAATGCACAAAGGAACACAACTTATGGACAATTACAGAGTACACACTTAATATGTGGTTTTTGATCAGAATGAAAATAAATGGGTGATGGGAGTAGTATTTGGAGCCATTTTTTAGAAATTAAGCAAATGGTGCATTGCTTATAAAATATAGTTTATTTTTAAATTAATAAAATTATAAATAAGTAAAATTTTAGTAAGCTCTCTGGAAGGCAAATATTACAGATTGATAAGATTTCCAGATCTACCATTTACTAAATTATCATTTAATCTTTCTGAATTTTAGTTTCCTCATTGGAAAAGTGGACTGTTGTATGGATTAAATAAGGTTATATATAGATGTACAATATAAATTATGAACTGCTAGGCAAAGGAAATAGGCAAAAATCTGCTAGGCAAAATTTATGTATGATCATTTGTCTTACTCAGTTTGGGCTGCT